ACTTGAAGTCATCTGATGCTAGTGGAACATCATGCGTGAGCGAAATGGTCCAGTAGGAAAAAGCCTAAGCAGTCGAGCAGGCAGCCAGCTCCAAGTCTTGCTTGCTCTGTTAATATTTGCTCACTATATGCCGCAATCTATGGAACCATGTTGTCTCAATGAATCCATTCACTGCCTTATCCTATAAAGGAAGTTCTACTTCATCATCCCACTTTACAGATGAGGAAGCTGAGGCATATTTTTAAAGGAGGCCAAACAAATCTTCCCCCAAAATGCACCATATAGTTATCAAGTTGATTTGGAGTTCTTTCCCTCCCATGCAACTGTCCATAGAAAAAGAACATGGATCAGAAAGAGAGCCATCATATTGTGAACAGTCATATGCAGAAACCTTATTTAAATGAGGTCAGGAAGCTAAAAATAATTTAAAAACACATACTCATGTATAAATCAGTATTCTCCAGGATCTACCATCTGCCACAGGAGGTGATGCTGTTTCCCCTCCCTGCGACACTGAGGAGGTGTTCCAGAGTTTATATAAAGAGAGGCTAGCCTTTGACTCAAGCTGGGAATCCATGCCTGTGGGTTTCACCAAGAACTTTCCAATGGTGAGACAACTGTCATCTGGATACAGATAAAATATTTTAATAACTCACATGCTTAAAATTAAATTTTAAAAGTAGCTAAAAAAGGCAGAGCAGTCAGTATCCAGAGGCTGTCCTCTCCCAACAGGGCATCCTGAATAGACCAGCAGGTATCAGTGAGTTCAGTAAGAGTCCTCCCACAGGAAAGCAGGCAGGGGAAATCTGCCCAAGCAGTCACCCATATGGCTTTCAAATGTGTTTATACTGATAGGGCTGCTGGGCTCTCAGGGGGCGTCTCCCTATTTACTGATTTAAAGGGCAACCCTTGCTGGCTGAAGATGTACCGTAATCCTAGGAAGAGCAGAGGACCTACTGTGAGAAGGGACGGGGCACTCAACATTTCTGCTTACTGTTATGGAATTTTGATAATAAAAAGGAGGCGATAAAGACAATAGTCTAGGGCAGAGAAGACCATGATCAGCTCATTCATTCATTCACTGAGTAAATATTTATTGACTACCTAATTTCTTCAGCACTGTGACAGACAGGTGCTAAAGATAAGGTGAGCAAAATCAGATAAAATTCTCTAGGAGTTTACAGTCTAATGAGGGAGGAGGACACCCATCAAAGAACTACACATAAGTTCTGTGATAATTGTGTTATATGTTGTATTATGCAAATGCATGTGATAGTGTTTTATAAAGTAGTAAATGCTTTAAAGTAGTACAGTTAGTCCCAAACTTAATCTTGTTGAAAGGATATTGGAAACTGGAACTTTAAGTGAAAAGACAGATAACCAGTTTTACCTCAGAGTAATTGATATAAACAGGAGTTAAGTTCCTAAAACAAATTTCTAGTCACAAAAACATCACCAGACTTTTAAATAAAGACCCCCAAACTTCCAATATTACACAATAATTTGTACTCACTCACTTATTTTCCAACCCACTTATTCCATGTTAGGGACAATATGGCCAGAGGTGTTCCAAACAGCTCAGGGCACAAGTGGGGAACCAGCCCTGGACAGGACACCCTCCAATTGCAGTTATGGTCACACTCACCACATACTCACTCAGAATTGCAGCATTTAGAGACACTAGTTGACCTAAGTGCACATCTTTGGGGTGCAGGAGGAAATTGTGGAGTACCTGGAGAAAACCCAAGCAGACTAGAAAGAATGTGCAAACTCTACAAAGACAGAAATAGCTTTTCCCCCTTATCATTACAACAAAATAACTTTGAACAAAATGATAGATTTAAGGACCTACTGGGCACTATAAACAGAGGAGATCCCTTTCTCTGGAGGCAGAAAGTTACGCCCTTAGGCAATGAGGATGGAGGTAGGAGCTGAAAGGGAAGTAGGAAGGGAGATAGGAGTGGGAACATTGCAGCCAGGTGAACCTCCAGCCCTGAGGCAGGTAAAAAACCTACTGATTCAAGGAATTAAAGGTGTGTGGAGTAGCGGGTTCCAGACCAGGCTGGTGGCCCTGAGGGGACAATTGGGAAGTTGCTTCTCTCTACTGAAAAGGAAGGTAGGTCAATAAGAATGTTGTTTGTGTTAAGAATTATGTGACAGGAGTAGATTTGCATTATTTAAATGCCTGCTGAGGAGCAGCTGGACTGGAAGGAAGCAAGAGTTGATTTGTTGCTTCTTTTCCTGGATTTGATGAACAATTTATTGTGTACATATCAGTGCTGATCAACAGCAATTAACACAACACACATCACTTTGAACCTTCTAGCTGTCACAGTAAAGAAAGTCCATTAAAACTAATATAGAGATTAGTTTTAATATAGTTTATTTTGCTTATTATATCTAAAATCATTTGCTTACTATATCTATCATTTCAAAATGTAATAATTAAAAAAAACCATGTATTTCACATTCTTTTCTTACCAAACCTTTGAAATCTGTGGTACATTGTAAACATTTCAACTTGAGCAAAATTTTTCATCAGAAATACTTTTTATATATTTAATTTCATAAAATGTACAGTCAAAGATAGATTTACCAACCCAAGTTGTTCTAAACATAAATGTTTTCTAATAGTTAAACCAATTACCACTTATGTTAAAATTAAGTAAAATTTAAGATTAAGTTCTTCACACAGTAGTCATATTTGAACCACTCGATACCAGATGTGGTCTGTGCAACCATATTGGATAGAGCAGAAGAAACTTCCATCATAGCACAGGTGGAATCTGCTGTGAGACACTGTGCATTTATTAACTTCCCTTTTGAAGACACAACCTTTGAGAGTGGTGGGCTCATTCATCGAGGACAGTCTCACTATTTCTTTTTAGTAAGCCTATGCCCATTCCTTTTTGTTTTTGTTTCCCAAGTAGAATTTTCCAACTGGGAAGAAGATGAGCTGACATGTTGATCTTCTTCTATCCAGGCTGTTGGCTGTTACATTTTTCTTTATAAATGAATAAAGAATGAATTTTGAAACTTGTGGATCTGGGCAAACTACCAGTTCCTCTCATATCATCCTGCAAGCAACTTCATCATTGAAGAGCAAACATTGATTTTTTTGGTTTGCATAATACTTACAAAATTAAACAACATCCCCTTAGTCAATAAGCCTCCTGCCTACTTCTCTTCAGTAGGGGTCCCTAGTCACCGAGGGAGTTCCCACCTGAGGAAAAGGGCCTGGGAGCAAATGTGTATTTGGGTGTCTGGCTCAGCAGGCCCAGGCACCAGGCCTTCCCAGGCCTTAGCCCCTAGACTTCAGCTGCCATCCCTCTTCAGAGTCCCTCCATAATTTCACCTCTCCATTCCCCATTTGGTGCAAGGCTGAGCAGGGGATTTCTCTCTCTCTAAGGCATATAAATTTCTATGGAAACTAATCTTCCCCTTCCTCTTTACTCTGGGCAATGAATAACACCTTTTGCTAGGATGTTCTCCCACCCAAACCCATCTGAACTTTAACACAAGAAAGAGCTAGATGCTCCACTTTTCCAAAAGAAGTGAGTTCTTTGGAAGTACAGGTCAAATATCTTGAAGCTCGTTTTGAAAATTCTTTAAAATTCTCTATATGGTTTCCATTCATTCTATTTAATGACATTGGGCTTGTTGGTGTATAGTATGTTTGTGTAATAATGGCTAACATTACGTAAGCCATTAATACATACCAAGGCCTTTATATAGATTCTCTCATTTAATCCTCATAAACTACCCTATGAAGTAGATGTTAATATTTGTATCATTTTACAGGTTAGTAAAGCAAGACTCAGAAAGATAAACTTTTTCAAGATGACTCAGCTAGTAAAAAGCAGACTTGAGCTACCCTGAACAATAGTAAAACCAACGCAGAGTTGAACCAGTGTGCCACGTTGCTGTCCTGCTATTTTAAATCTCCGGTTCGTTTATGGTTGGTCAAAGAGAGAAAAGCAAGTCCTGCAAAATACTTTTGTGTGCTGCTTCCTGTTAGTAGTAGAGAAGAGTCCTCAAGGAGGGGATTCACAACGCAAACCTGACCAATACAATGGCAGACATCAAATCCAAGTAGAGGGCAGGAATCTGTAGCAAGCGCCTACCTCCTGCCTCCTCTAGGGCTCATAATCTCAGCTTCACCGGGGCCTGCCTATCAGTTCTAGCACCTGCCAAGCTCCCCGTCATGGCCACACCCCTTGCCATTTGGCCGGGTAAGAGCTCAGCCCCAGCAGAAGGGGAGTGGGGTGTGGGGAGCTAAGCTTCCTGGTGGAATCTAGGTCCCCCATTACACACAGGGTGTAACTGATATTTAGGATGATTTATGTCCAGGGACAAGAATACAAATCGATCCCAGTTCAGTCATAGGTTTAGCTCATTAAGAATAGAAAATTGCATTATCCCCACAGCGGATAAACCCCAAATCAGCCCCTTATAAGGAAATGTGAAACTTGAGGTCTTTACGCCCTCAGAAGACCTGGGGGAGCCACAGTTTGAAAGAGCGGATGCGGGAGGGGAGGCAGAGGTCATACTGGGTTCCAAGGGCACTGGCCCCACCTTAGCCAGCACGGAGGTTCCAGGCCCCGCCCTTCAGAGACCACAGCCAATCCGGAGTCCGCGACCCGGCTGCTCGTATCGCCCCGCCTCCCTCACGGCCACGCCCCGCCGGCAGTGACGTGCCCCGCCCCACAGCCGCGGGATTCAAACTCCCGGAAGCGGTCTCTCTAGCGGAGGGTGTGATTTGGCCGGCGCGATCGCCGCCCTTCGCTTCAGGTCCCCTCAGGTTCGGAGAGGCGACCACCGAGGGTGGCGACCCGCGGCCAGGGCCCTCCGCCCCGAAGCCCGGCCGGACCGCGAGGTCGGGGCGTCGGTGGGCAGATCGCGTCACCGGGACACGATCTCCGCTAGCCGGGTTACATGCCCCCCTTTCCTGGCGCCCTCTTCGTGCCAGGCGCGGAGCCGGGCGCCTCACCACAGCCGTCGTTTCGACCCGTCCCTTCAACTTTACGGTGGGTATTATCGCTCCCTCCCTGTGATTTGGCCAAGGCCTTGCTTCTTGCCGATTAATGCTTTTTAATTCTACAAACATCTTCGATTTTGAGGAAAGAAAACAAGTGCCTCTTTTTGCAGTTTTCCTTTGCCCGTCTGTCTGCCCTTTGAGCGTTTGAGGGTCTTTGTAAGCTTCGCATTCCCTTGTAAATGATGTGGCTTGTAAAAGATGCCTGGTACAGCTTGCTGGGTGGAAATGCTGCTTTGGCCACCTCTTGTCCGGCATGTCTGACATTTCAGCCCTATACATTACTTTCTGAGCACCTGTTGTTTGGCTCTATGAGTGGCAAAGTAATTCAAGATCGGTCCCTGAAACCACTGTTAAATACATGAAAAAGGCTGGGAGGAGTCTTTCTGAGTACCAGATGGTGGTCTGTGTCACTCACTAGTTCGCAGAGGGGTGGCTTCCTGCAGGCAGGCGCAGCTGGCAGAGCAGTTTGAGCAGTGGCTGGGCTGGCGTTGGCTATCAGGGGAGGCCAGTGAGTAGGACTAAGAGGGGAGGGGCCGGGGGGATCCTAGCGGGTTGTAGGCCAGAAGGTAGAAGTCAGGGTCTCTCACTGCGGGAGTTCTGCCCAGAGGTTCCTGCCAGGTCTCCTGATCGACATGGTTCCACCATTCTGCACTTCAGTGACTTGCTTGAAAAGTGGTCAAGGTGGCATCAGCAGAAGCACACTGCAGAGAATCTGCCATGGCAGCAGCTGCAGACATTCTCAGTTGGCCTTTACCTCAAATGATTTCCTAGGTAGCTTCCTCTTTCATCTCAGAATGGGCAGAGCGTCTTGGGCTAATCTTTTGGTAACTGATCTGTTTAGCTCTGTCTCCACAGTTTTGATAGTGTCAGGCTCTGATTTGTATTGGATGGCACCAAGTCACTTCCACAGAGACCGCCCCACTACCTTATCTAAGCAAGGCTCCCCTTCCTTCACGACTGTTATCTGCCATTTCCTGTATACTGTAGGCTCACCAGTATTTTTTTTTTTTTAATGCATAGAGGAGTTCATAATCCTCTAGATTTCTTAGTCACATCACCATTTTTTTTTCCTTAGTATCTATTAGGTGAGAACATGGTTTTAAACCTCCTAATGAAAGCCATTTTGGGGCCCTCCCTGGTGGCCCAACAGGTTAAAGCCCAGAACTGTGAAGCTGTCTTCAGCCACTGCAGCACCAGTTCGATCCCCAGCCCTATAGGTGATCCACATGGCACCGCAGACCTCTCCTGACTCGCCCACTACTCCCCTCAGCAGTGTCCTTCATCCATCTGCCTGTTCTGCTCCCCACTCTGTCTCTGGTGAATCCTCTCACCGCCCCTGCACCTCTGGCCTATACCCCAGCTCTTGCATGCATGCATAAATCAATCTTTAAAAAATACACTTTTACTATATACTTAGTATGTTTCACTGTATCTCTTGCTCTAAGAATTGATATCATACACTTATTTCTAAACTATAATCTAATATTGCTAGCAGATATACAGCTTCTCCTCACCTATTCTTAGTTTCTATTATTCTTGAATTCATTAAATATTGTGGCTCTTTTTCTTATAAACCTTTAATCTTGAGTTATCTTCACTTCCCACTGTGCTCTTAAAATTGACTATTTAGCAAGATCTGAAGTAGGCCTATTTTCTAAAACAAAACATACCTTTTGTTTGGTAATGACATTGTTATTCCTATATACTCAGATTTATATTACTTATCACTAGTTTTTTATTCCTGCATAAAATATGTTTTTGATTGTGATGTGCTCCTTTCGGGTTTCATCTAATGGCTTAATCATTGGTTATCCCTCCATTTTTTGTTTTTAACAAGACTTTTCTATTGATGTTTGACACACAAAAGTATAGAAGTTGACATCTTTTTAAAGAGCAAATGCTCCCCATGTGTCAACCACCCAGATTTAAAAATGTAAATTATTGCCAGCAACCTCCCCCTATACCTATACCTATGGTTTGGCTATATCATTTCTATTTGGAGAGGAAGTTCCTTCTATTTTGTAGGTAGGTTATCAGACCTTTTCAAACCTGAGTTTTGAGCTTTTTAAATTTAAGCTTATCATTATGTTTTTATTTTATAGGTAATTTCAGAGATGTCTTCCAGAAGTCCCAAAGTTTTAATCAAAACTAAGTGGGGATCAAAACCCACCAATTCCAAATCAGAAACTGCATTAGAAAAATTTAGGGGAGAAACTGCAGCCTTAAAAACATCAGTGGATGAAATCACAATCGGAAAAGGGAAGCTGACTGATAAAGAAAGACACAGGCTTTTGGAGGTAAATGGCATTATAAATCCTTAACTTATAGTAAGCTTTGTTGCCAGAGATGAGAAAGTATTTTCTCAGTGATTATCTAGTTTATGGAGTTCAGACTTCAATGTGAATATTTTAAAACTCAACTTCTGCTTTTTGCCAGCTTTTCAAGTAATCTTTGTTTTTAGTTTTTTTTTTTTTTTAGTAAAATCATTGCCATATATTGGCATTTTGTTTCCTGTTAAACTGTATTTCAGATTGCCTAATTTACAGTTTGTTGTGGCATGGTCATTAAAGCAGTTATAGAGTTATTAGAACTGGAAGGATTTAAAATTTTAATCATTAACTTACTTTTAATTTCTTTTTGCCAAAGTAGCTATATTGCTCATATTTAGAGGATAAGTGGCCTGTATTAAATAGATTAATTGGGTTTCTTTACATTTTGTTTTATAGGGGTATCATGAAACAAAATGATGTATTATTTTTTAACATAAATTAAGCATTGAGAAATGATTCATCACCAATTCATAGACATTATTTTATAATCTGGTGAAGGAATCAAAATAACTTCCCTGGGATATCTCTTACCAGTTTATTCTTTATAGACAAACACTTTTCGGCTGAATCAGTTCAGTCTGTTGAAATTAAACTTCCTGTAACTTCTGCCTATTTGGTTGGCAACCATTCAAGTTAACTAAAGTTACTCTTACTTTCACACACAATCATCCAACTAAGTTATCCCCACTGTATATTTAAACAATTTTTTGCACCCCCTCATGCAAGTTTTTAGTTTTATATTAGAAGATAAAGTAATTTTGTGAACTTTTTCTGTCAGCTCTCGCCTGATACTTTATGGCTGCAGCAGTTTCTCCAGCATGCCTTCTTTATCTTCCAGTCCTTCAAAAGGATAAATACCTTAGAGGCGTTTACCTTCTAGATTTGATACCAAATCACTTACTAACAGGATTCAAGTAAATGAATACACTTTTATCCAAAATTACAGGTTACTGTAATTTTTAAGTTCTGTGCTTCTTCTTCAGTGAACATGTATGGAGAGATGATTATCCAAGTGAGATTACTCACAGATACTCAAGTGAGAAGCAGCTTTTCGTTAGCCTTCTCTCCCTATTCTTCACAGAGTTTTGTTTTTGTTTTGTTTTTGTTTTTCTTTGTATATGTGTGTGTTTGTTTATGCCCATCTACTTCATATATATTTTAACTACAGCACTTAGTATTTGGCATTAATGTGCTGGTTTAGCTTTCTATGATCTCTCAGAGAGATCATGTGTTCTTTTTTGGCTATGATATTTAGTAAAATGTAGGCTCCATATATAATAAATACTTCACAAATGCTTGTCTTAGTGTATTGTTTACTTTCATGTTTGTCCTGGCTTTTTTCTAAGATTCTTCTTAGTTTATATCTAGAAAATTCAAGTCCTCGAAGCTGAGAGTGAAAAGAATGCTTATCAACTCACAGAGAAGGATAAAGAAATACAGCGACTTAGAGACCAGGTGAAGGGCAAATATAATACAACTACATTGCTTGAACAATTAGAAGAGAAAACTAAGGAAGGTGAAAGAAGGGAACAGTTGTTGAAATCCTTATCTGAAGAGACAGATATATTGAAAAAACAGTTGTCTGCCACAACTACAAAACTTGCTGAACTTGAAAGCAAAGCTAGTACACTTCGTATATCACAGGTACTAATAATTTATTTAAATCCAGATTTTTTTATTTCTTATGATTCATAATTCTTATGAAAATGAGTTTATGAAGCATTCTTATCAAGTGATGAAACAGTGTAGTTTTCCAACAAGTCATTTGTTTTTAAATAGTCCAGTAGCCTTTCCATAAACAAAAATAGGTACTAGAACATTCTCACTCCCCACATTGTGTATGTGTATCTACAATTGCCAAGATTTTATTTAGCTCTTATTTCAATAGTTTGTACCATGAAACACAACAAGCTTCATTTTGAGGTTATTTTTCACATTTAAGACATAAAATATGAAGCTAGTATCCAGTATGCTTTTCCTAAAGACTTGTGCTTCCCTCTCCCTTTGGTTTTGGTCTCTATGGTAGCAGAAAGAGCAAGGATTTGTGGGTAGGCAGTTCTGCCACTTACCACTTATGTGTGACACTGAGCAAATTCCCTAACCTTGCTAACCTTATTAGAATTCACCAGAGCCCTTTCTTAAGTCTTGGTATCCACATCAGTACAATAAAAAAATATATAAATGAACTAGTTTAGTGCTTGGCATATAAAAAGTGCTCAATAAATAATATATTGATCAGACCTTTTAATTCTTTTGAAAATTTGGACATTTGCACTTATTATAGTATAATTTAGAGTATTTTAACTATAGCTTTTAGATATCTCAGTGCTATTAAGAGTCTGTCTTAATCTTCCCTTTAGAGTAAACAGGGACCCAAGCTGTACATTTAAGTGTACTGTCACATAAATGACAAAAATGTTTCAAAGATGAGTTCAAAGAAGTTTTTCTAAAGGATTTTCACAGAGTAGGAGCTCATCCTGAAACATTACAATCAGATCCAAAGAGGCTGACTAAAATTTTTCCTGAGAACTCAAGAATTAGTTTTCCTACTTTTGAAAATAGAAAGGCAAATCTTGGAAGAAGTTATTTTTAAGAATGAATTCTTAAACAGAAAGATAAATTCTTTATCTTTCTCTCATGTCAGAGGTGTGATGAAGGAGGCCTTGTCCACAGAGTCAAAGTGATTGCTAGGTTCCTCTCCTAGTTGCTCCCTGGTCCAGCAGGGAGGAACCCTCCTGCGCTTATGGCTGCCAGCTAGAGAGCACATGTGTAGAATTGGGGGAGGTTTTATCAGGCCTGGTATTAGCCCCATTCTGTTATACAGAATTTAATCATGACCTCACTAACCACAAAGAATGCTGGCTAATGTAGGCTTACAGTGTGCCCAGAGAACCATGGGAAGGGGTTGGTGGACCAGTTCTGTCACACTTCCACCTATAAGACTAAACAGGGAGAAAGAGCTACGTACTACGTAAGTACCTATCTCACCTTTGGAAAGATTTTGAACTTTCTTGCCAGCATTCATAAGTCTCTTTCCTTATAGTTGGTAAAAGACTGAAATACAATATTTGTGAGATTATTGAATAGGCCAGGTTCTTTAATCACTGACTTCCCCTCTTTTTTTTCCTTTATGAGAAAATGAAGGGGGAAAAAAAGAAATTATGTTTTGCGTTCCATACCACCTAATACTGATTAATATGATTACAAATAGAATTGTAGAAATCAACTTTCACCTTTTATTTTATGATTACTTTTGTAGATTTAATTTAAAAAGCCCAGTTGAAAAAAAAAAAAGCCCAGTTGTTTTGTGAAAACTTCTGGGCTGTTCATGTGCACTGAGAGCTATTCTGGTGATTCTGCCATACAGAGGGCCTCAGAAGTGAAGGTAGACATGAATCTCAGGGTTTCCAACTCTGCTTAAGAAGCTTTCCTGAGATCCTGACTCCCTTCTGGTGCTTAGCTGTAACATGGCAGGCTGGTTCATCGGGTATACTAAATCTGTGAACTGTATCTGTTTTTTATTGGAACTAAATGTAATGAGGCAACTTCTATTGATGTTAAATTTAACAACAATATTGGTTTACTTATAGACTATGGCTACAAGCTGTTTCAACTCATCAATGAGTAATATTCATGAAATGGAAATACAGCTGAAAGATGTAAGTTTATTTTCCTTTTGTTATTATAGCTAAAAAGGGACTAATTCATTTACTCTTGAATTTCATGGACATTAACAGCACTGATGCTATGATTTGAAAAAAATCACTTTCCAGGCATTTAACAGGGCCAGTTCCTTTAAGTATGGTCTCTGTAGGCTAAAAAGGCCTAGAAACTACCCATCACTACCAAATACTTCAACATCTTTTCTCTACCCAAACCTAATTTGCCCAACTATTTTATACTGTAATGTAATTTATAGTTTCTTTTTATTTATGCAAGAAATACTTTTCAGTATAAAATTTTTCCTTTGGTACCAGGATTTGTTTTCATAGTTTAAACAGGAAAAGCATTCTTTCTATATTCTTACTTCTTTTCTCTAGAATGTGATTGGAGGTTATTATTTCAAATCTATGTCCTAAATGAACTGATGGGGTTTCATTGGGAATTGAATAAATTGAGGGCATAGGATTATTACTTAGTTTATTTTTCTAAGTTTTGATATCAAATATATGAGTATAAAATTCTTCATTTAATTATTAATCCCTAGGTAGATATTTTGATACCAGAAATATTACCAGCAGGTCTGCCTTGGTTTAAGCATGTTCTTAAGATTCCTGTTTTATTTTATCTAGCACATGTACCCTAAGGTCTATTTGATCTTAAGAGAAGAATTTAAATCTTTGAGTTTCTGAATAAGGGCATGCTTCAGCACCCTTATCAAAATAATTTACCTAGAGGTAACTAAAGTAAAGAAGAAACATAATTTTTCAAGAGCTATCAAAATCAGTTTCTGTGGTAGACTGACCTCTTATCATTCTACTTCTAGCAGTGCTCCCTCATTTGGATGTGCATATGTGCCAGGAATTTACCTTCCACACCTGCGCTCCCCTTTATGTACCGCTCCAGCCATGCTGGAGAGACTCACCACCTTTTCTCTTTCAGCTCCCTCCGTGACACTTTCCCCTGGTCTTTACTGGTCACCTCTTGGGTCTGGGGTGAGGGGGCTGGGATAGAACAGAGAAGATCAGAGCTATAGATTTCCTTAGCCATTTGTTTAAAATTATAGCTCTCAAATAATTCTAGTCTCCATTTCCTACAATTTCCAACTTGTTCCATATTATTGTAAACTTAAACTCTATTTATCTTGTTTATTGTCTGGCTCTTCTATTAGAATATAAGTTTTATGAGAGAAGGATTTTTGCATATTTTATTCACTGTTATGTCTAGAACATTTGAAAGAATGAGTGGAATCTTGTGAAATTTTGCAAATTTAAGTACTGTTTCTTCTAGTAAGGTACCTGAAAATAAAAGCTGTTGTCTTAAACATACATGTAATTTTTAGACTTCTTAGTGTTAACTGTCTCAAATATTAAAGTTATTCTTAGATAATGAAATGGTGTACCTTTGTGTCCAGTTTTTCTGTTCTTTTTTATCTTCCCAATGTATTTAAAGATCACCTTGTTCTTCTGTGTTCTGCTTCTTAGGAGACTTTTAGACAAATAGAGTAAAATTTAACCCAACTCACCTTCAAATGGTGAGCTAGACTGAGCAAAGCCTCTCATACTCAAATATGTATGCTAACCTAGGGGAGCTACATAAAATGCAGCTTCCTGTACTGTTGATTGCGGTCGGTCGGGCCTGAGATTCTGCATCTCCAACAAGCCCCATCCTGCTGCCTGTGATCCATGGACCACCCTTTGACAACCATTAGCATTTGAGGAGTGAGAGGTGATTGAGCTCTGGTCATCCCTCAACAGATCTTTTAGGCCAGGAGAATTTTTGGAGAACTTAGGGAGCAGAGAAAGAGTCATCTCACTCCTCATAGTCCCTATGCTCCTATTATATGACTTTTGAAAAATCAGTATTTCTAGTTCTACATCTTTCCTCAAAGCTCCTACAAAATTCCCTATAGAAGTTTGCCTACCCATTTTAAGAATTGGTTATTTGTTATGCTAAAATAAGCCCTGAAACCCTGTTTACCTTTGTGAAGGCCTAGCGCTATATCATTCCTTAGCCACCATTAGGTTCACCTCACATGTTGAAGTAATTACATGTAGCTAATACTGTAAACAATGCCCAGTGTCAGTATCTTCCAGACTAGAATGACTCACAGGCAGTTTTAGTATTTCTTAATTTTAAAGATCTGTTTTTTAAACATAAGATGTGGGGAAGATTATGATAATAAACAATGATTTTAAAAGTTTTATTTGGAAAAAATTTAAATTTACAGAAAATTTACAAGGATGAAAATGGTATATAGAATGTCCATATACCCATAACCAAAATTAAACCTATGTGCTCTATTTTGCACATATTTTCTTTCTCTTTGAATTTCCAACCACATACATACAGTATGTTTTTGGAACTATTAAGAATGAGTTACTTCTATCCGTAGCCTGTGTACTTTAAAGTGTCTTCCTAAGAACGAGGGTATCTCTTGCATGACTCCAGTGCAGCAATTATAAAAAATTCAGTATGAGCAATGTACTTCTGTGTCATTTACCATTCAGATTTATGTTATGTATAACACATTTTATGTTATTTATGTTATGTATAACACATTTTATGTTATTAAAATGTATGTTAACATTTTAATCCCTGTTACAAGTTTTCCCCAAGGAATATTTAATATATCAAGCCAGGAAGAAACATTTTAGCATCTTTAGAGGGCTTCACTTTTGCCCACTCTGTTTCTATGTTGTTATTAATAACTTAGATAGAAAGCTTCAATGCTTGACTAACAAATGTAAAGATTACATAAAACTGAAAGATAACTGACACAATGATGGATACAAAAATAATATCAGTATTCATTGCTAGCCATCAAATAAGAGCGGGTACACAGAATTCAAGAAGAGGTAGGGGGCAGAAAAGTTTACTACCTGACTGAAGTAACATTGCCATCATGTGGCGTTTTAGGATATTGCACTTCAAACCTTAAATCAACAAATACTTGTTTTCAGAATTAAGTAATGTGTAGCAATTAGTAAATAATTTCTAGACCTTTCTCTCCCAGCACTAGCAAATGAATCATCTTCTTTGCTACCTTTCAACTTGAATCTGCTCCCCATTTCTGATAACAGAACTACCACCCTGCCTGGAAACACTGGGGGCAGGAGAGGAAGCAGAGGGCTAATGTGTAGTTGCAGGGGATTCTGGGTTGCTCTGGCAGGCTCCTTTGCGTTTGCTTTCCATAGAATTTCCAGGCATCAAGTGGTTGAGAATAGTGAGTCACATAAGAGCCTATGTCATAAATGTGCACACTCTGGGCCATATATTCCAGCTTGTTTTATCCACCAAAGTTAATGTAGCTTTTTATGTGCATATTTGCTGATGTCTTGCCATAGATCAGTGGTAGGAGCCACAGAAATTGTAGGTGTGATTTTATAAGCGTTTCAAACTTATGCTTTGTGATCTGGTAGGACTATCAGCACATATATAATTTGAGGGGAAGATGAACCCAAAATGAAAAACTTTTAGCAATAATAGTAAAGTGAATCATTTTCCATGTCTAACTGCTTATTTTAATACTGTCATCCAAAAAATTTTTTACACACATATTATAAGCAGCACCTAGAATCCTTCATGGACTTACTATCTCTTTGAGAGATACAGCAAACACATAAAGAGCCAAAGATGGTTGGTAAATAATATTTAATTATTAATTGCATGTGTGTGTGTATGTGTGTGCACACACATGCCCCTATACAAACCAGGAGAGTGATTCTAGTTTGGGGTTTTTAATTGAGTTCTAAAAGATGTAAAGAGTGAAAATTAAATAAGAGAAGCAGCAACTACTTAAGTTTGATTTTCCAGGACACTGAGACAGGGTTAGAAGTGCAGATAACTTATGGGGGAGCAACATCGGTGAAGGGAAAAGGAAAGAAGCCAGATTGGGCAGGGGATTGTCAGAACAGAATGCGAACCTGAGCTGAATCCTATGTTGGGCACAAACAGGTCTTTCTTGCAGGGTTTCAGAGCAGTGCCGCTCTTCCTTGGCCAGTAAAGGCATTCGGTTTACAGAGGATGATGAGGAAGTAGGTACAAAATATGCTGTGTGTAGGCAACAGAAGACAAATGAACTAAACCCCATGCAAACATCTCTTCACCATGTTGTTGGTATCTTGAAGGTGTGTCACATTAGGATATATTTCTGTGTCATAAACCATACACTGGTCGCCTCAAATTAGTCTAGAATATGAACCATAAGAGCTTTTATGTGCTAGAAAAGAATGCATCACTTGGACTTCCTTGTCCAATTTGTGATTTTGTAGAGTTTTTTATATTTGTACAATAAAAAAATGTATTATTATCATCATGTTTTTGTATTTTATTTTGCTGTTGACTTTTTTTTTGTAATTTTCACATTGAGGCACTGGAGAAAAATCAACAGTGGCTTGTGTATGATCAGCAGCGAGAAGCCTATGTAAAAGGACTTGTAGCAAAGATCTCTGAGTTGGAACAGAAGTTGGAAACAGTTGCTCATTCACTCCCACAGCAGAGCAAAAAGACAGAATCAGAAGGTACTGGTATAAAAATGTTCTTTTGGAGTAGGCCTGCCTGACATTTTCCAAAAGTAGAGATTCATCAAATTTAGATTTTTATAGATGTGTTAGAAAGTAAAATAAGCACGTCTTTTAGCCCTTAAATAAAAAATGCCATTTTAGGGAATCTGTTTTATTTCTCACTGATTTCATGAAAGAGGGCATGAGCCCCATGGTAAAGGCACCTGCGGTAGCTTTGAGGGCACATTAAATTGTCTCCACTGTGCACCCCACCCCTTCTGTCTCCTTCAAAGTCCTCCAACGTTTCCCCCAGAGCTGGCCTTGTCACCTGCTATCTTTCTTCCTCTTTGCCCTTTTAGAATTTATTTATGTCAATCCCAGGAGAAAGAATACATTTTATAGATGATTCTTCCGTCATTTAAATCTCACCAGAGAACTGCAATAATTTTGAACAATGCTGTCTTTTTGCCAAGTGCTTTGCATTTTCTCTAGCATCATCTCAGTTGAGTTTCACAAAAACCCTGAGAAGCGTGGCACTTTATGGAGCAGGAACTAGGCTCGATAGTTCAGGTGTTGAGCTAAGAAAAGAAGGAAACCTCCCATGCAAAGTGGTTGTTAAAAGACTGGCAGCCCTACTGGACTAAAGCCTGGGATTCTGTAGGAGTGAGCTGGCTAGTTATCGTGGGTCTTCACTTTGAAATGTTTACAACAAAGCTAATGCTAAGTAGAAAACGCAGAAGGGAATGTCTCTAGAGATAATCAAAGCTGTTTATCCCTAAAGTGACAAAATTGTTAACTGCATTGTCTTAATAACTTTGCTACATTAAAAGTAAGATTTTAACTCAGGTTGAATCTAATTTTTTGCTCAATATTAGCAGAGAAGAGCCCTGTTCCACCATTCCCATCCATCCTGATCTCAGTTTCCTCCCCCAGCAGGTTAGCCACTTCTAACATTTCTGTTTTTGATTTTGGTAATTAGCTCTATCTCTATAAATATGAGCTTACATCCTTTTCGATTTGTCCTTTTTAAACATTAGTGAGTTTCCTTCCCCTCCGAATAGTTGTTATTTCTATTTTCAGTCTTCCATGTATTAGTTTTGCAACTTCAAATAGTGAAACCAAACTGTCTGTTTCTTGTTCTGCAAATATCAGCTCTGTCTCTTGACTCTTCATTTTGAAAGGTGAGAAAATAAGGTGATTTTGTTTAGAGAAAGAGTTCATGTTTGTCTTCTCAGGAATATTGCCTATTTTATAAAGTCAGTTATGCCCTGATGTGTTTGTAGGTTATCTTCAAGAGGAAAAGCCAAAACATTACAGCCATCTTTTGACAAATGCAAAGAAAGAACTTGAGGTTGAACGACAAACCATCACTCAGTTGAGTTTGGAACTTAGTGAGTTTCGAAGAAAATACGAAGAAGCCCAAAAAGAAGTTCAAGATTTAAATCAGCTATTATGTTCACAAAGAAAGGCAGATGTCCAACATCTGGAAGATGATAGGCATAAAACAGAGAAAATACAAAGGCTCAAGGAAGAAAATGATATTGCTAGGGGAAAACTTGAAGAAGAGAAGAAGAGATCTGAAGAGCTGTTATCACAGGTAAGCCTACCCAGTAAGGTTTCCATGACTTACAATTCAAAGTTTTCAGTGTCCTTACACTAATGTCAGGGACTATATTAACAGATAGTAAATGAGCAAAGAGCAAAGGAAGCTTTTGCCAGCTCATGGGCGTTCATATTTAGGAATGGAAACAGACTATATGCAAGCACCTACATAAATAAAGAAGACAACGCAGGGTTCTGTGACAGAGAGATTGGGGGTCTTCCTCAGAGGACGGTGCGTGTACAAAGACCTGATGCCATGAAGAAAACCAGCAAGATAAATGCCTGGGAAATCCCCCTAGGCAGCAGGAATTGCATCTCAGAGATTCTGAAAAAGGAATGGGTCTATGTGAGAGGCTAACGGCAGGTACGGAGCACCAGGAGTGTAGGGGCTCTTCCGAGGCTGGCACCTTGATCTCGAGGACACTGTGGTTGGGTTCACGTGGCACCTTCCGTATTCTTGTTATACTCACAGCTTTATGCCAGGCAGTGTCAGTAATGTTGAAATTACAGAGTTAGGATTACAGACTTGGACTACTACTCGCGCAGAAGTTCACTCGTTTAAATTTTGCTTGGCAGCATAGAAGTCTGAAAACCCATTTGGAGTCCACACTTACACACTTGGTCTCCAGTCCAGCATGGACTCACCTAAGGGTGTTCATGTGTCAAACTGATCATCATAACCTCTTCTTGCTTTTAGAAAGCTTTGGTGAGGATTCATTGAGAAACCATGAAAGTGCTTTGTAAACTAAAAGTCTAGGAAAATGTTATGGCTGCTATTAGTCATTTAGAAATCCCCCAGAAGTTAAAGCAGGAAAAGGTCATCTGTAGCATTTGCCTTCTTAGTCTTTACACCCTCACTTCTTCCTCGAGGGGTGCGTGGTGGTATTTACTAAAATTAAGCAGAAGTGACTGAGAAATTAGCTTCAACTCTGTGCTCAAGGAGGCGAGGCAGTACTGTGTGTCAGCAGCTCCGGGAAGTAGATGTGCCCACTGCAGAGGTCAGTGCTGCTTATCGACCTCTGGGCCTTTGGTCTGGGCCTCAGGGAACCCTGGGCCTCAGTGGTGCCATCAGCCCCTGGCATCCAACAGCTCCGGTAGCCATCACACAACCAGCTAGGGCTCCTAGCAGGTGCTGTCCCAGCTAGAGATGTGAGGCTTGTGAAGTGAACTGTTTGTGCATCCCAGGGCGAATGATTAAAGGCCTGATGTTGCTAAAAGGTTCCCCGTGACAACACTGGTTCTGTTTACACCCCACAGATGCAGTTTCTTTACACCTCTTTGTTAAAGCAGCAGGAGGAACAGAAGAGGGTAGCTCTGTTGGAACAACAGGTACTCACTGGGCTTAATTCACCTCAACTTGCTAGGAAATCGACTTTTTCCTTATGTTTACACTAGGTTATGGAGAACATTTTGAAAATTGTAGAAAATATGTTGCTTTTTTTTCTTTTTTAACTTTAACAGAAAATCCTTAAAGAGGATAGATGCCTCGCTATCTATCCCTGTTGCTGTTTTTATGCCAAAGCAGATTCCCTGGGGTAAGGAGCAGTTTTCTTGATAGGTAGATGTTCATCCTGGCAGAAGATTTTATTCTTCTGCAAATGACTTCTGTAGTTCCTATTCTGACCTGACAGGATTCCCTAGTAACTTTAAGCAGACCTCAAAGAAACCATTTATTCTCAAAATTACAGTTTAGAGGTTTTTAATACCTTCCAAACTAGGGAACAGCCATCTCTTTCCCTTCCTTCACTGCCCGATAAAAGGAAGAATCCTTTTAATCCTAACTTGTTAAACTATTTCCACTCGGTTATATACATTCAGGCACTGACTTTGCTTGGATGAACCAAATCTTCAGCTATAATCATCTTCATTTCTCACCGTTTTTCTGTGTTCAGATGAATTCTTGCTACAGTGGTACAGCAGTGTTTCTAATGCTAATAACAAAAATACAGGCATCCAGTCAAGAGAATTATACAGTATGTACTAACTATTGTCTTGTCCTGGGCATTTTTCCAGATGCAAGCATGTACTTTAGACTTTGAAAATGAAAAACTTGACCGTCAAAATATGCAGCATCAATTGCATGTAATTCTTAAGGAGCTCCGAAAAGCAAGAAATCAGATAACACAGTTGGAATCATTGGTGAGTCCAGAATGAATAAATTAAAACTTATTTTCTTTCTCTTTGTGCCACCTTTCATTTGCATGTCAAACCAGTTCCCAAACTAAGAGAATACAGCTTAAAGAACATCTATTTCTGTACTTTCCTTTGTGTTCTTACTGTCCATCATTTTTGTAGCATGCTGTAAAATACTCACTTTTAAGCTTTAATGATTATTCTAAGTTCCTCAGGAGAAAAATCATGAAAAAGAAAATCTCAAAGGTATTATACAATATCTTAGTCATTTCTGTGTATAATCTATTTACTCTGCCAAAATTCTTTTCTGTTATTAATTCCATGTATTAAGCTTGCTGAAGTTAGTGTCTTTTTACAAAACTAGCAAATTTAGTCAACATTGCACACAGGCATACTTTATATTTGACTCTAGGCTTTTCAATAGAACCTGTTCATATAAACACCCAACTAGTAATTCCTGGACCACTTGGTTAATTTATAACCACCTCCGATGTTACCACCCTAACGTGGTGACCAGAGGTTCAAAAGAAAACCTGTGTGCAGATCTGAGCAGGCACCACATTGTACAGCAGGCCTGATAAACAAACTGTTTGACATTTATTTTTTCAGAAGCAACTTCGAGAGTTAGCTTTCACGGAGCCATTGGTCTCTTTCCAGGGAGAGAATGAGAACAGAGTAAAAGTCGCCTCACCAAAAAGCCCTGCTGCTGCACTGAATGAAAGCCTGGTGGAATGTCCTAAGTGCAATATCCAGTATCCAGCCACCGAGCATCGAGACTTACTCGTCCACGTTGAATACTGTTCCAAGTAGCTGTGTGTCAATACTGTGTCTTACTTTAGCTTACTGGTCATTTCGAATTACTTATTTCATCTTTTTCATAAGAAACTGCCTGTCAGCCTTTGATTGGCTTGGAGTAAACCATTGTGTTTTTGTGAATGCTGAGATGACTAACATTTTGCACTGTTAAAAGTACTTGATGGGGAAAGATAGTTCAGGTTATTGCTTATAGGTTAAATCTATTGGCAAGCAAACAAATGTTTTATGTTTTTTGAGTTTTAAAAGCTCAAAGTAGCGAAGTAAAGCGCTTTTCTATATTTTCAAGCTGTGGGCATCTATAATTCCAATTTAGATGTCCATTGTTAGGTTGTGATACTTGTTTCATTTTTTTTCTTCATTGTTATAGAAAAGTTAGGAATTTTCTTAGTCTTTATGCTGCTTATTGTTGAAACTGTAAACCTAGCTATGTTCTAAGCACAAAGCAGATTCTGCTGAAGGAATACTCTTAAGTGACAACATAGGATATTTTATGCCATGTTAACTGGCTATAAGTTTAACTTGAATTTCACTAGCAATTGTTGGTCAGCTAAAACTGTTAGTTTTAACAAAATCTATTGTAGCCTCTAGTTTGATTTGCAGCTATTTATTTTTGTAACTCATAAAAGTTGGGCAATGTAATGAGCAAGATTGCTTATCTGAATATATATTTTTTATACAGACTTCTGTAAACCAAAACATTTTTTTATGTCTTCAGGTTTTCTAAAATGCAAAACACTGGGCCATTCTTTGCAATATAAGAGAAAATAAAGTTATTTAATGTCTTAATATGTCTAGTGTATAGATAGGTATGATAAGAGTTCTTCCTTGAGAGCAAAGCCTGAGGGTTACAGATAACAGTGTCAGGTGGTAAGGTAGGTAGCTAAGGATACATTAAAATCTGTACAAAGTCAGAAGTAGATGCTTTCAGACATCTTTGTTGAAGAGATAACAGTAATTGATCAATAAATATGATTCTGAGTTATTTGTTACAGAAACAGAAAATAAACATGTTTAATTGTAGCTTTTGTCCATAGAAAGTATAGATCTGTTTATGAAAATAAAATTTTACCCTCCCTGTTAATCCAGGTATTCAGTGTCTTCACCCACAGTTGGCAAAAGAGAAATGCTGTTCACCAGATGCTTCTTGTTCTATCCCACAATAGTGTGACAATGACCCTATTAGTAAATATAAATAGGCAATAAAGAAGTCGTTCTCCTTATCATTTTGAAGCAAGCCATGCATTATTATAGATATGGAAATGCCTTGGTCATTCAGTGAGTAGTAATTAGGACCCAAATCCAGATTTTGGTCACTGACTTTACAAACCAAGGGAGGTGGCCTCAAGAGAGTTCCGACTTACTGGAAACTGAGTCCCACAGAGGGGAGCGGCCTAGCCCAAGCGCGAAGCCATGTGCAGGGCAGTGAGAGAGTCCCTGGTGCCCAGAGACAGCGGTTTTAGAGCCCCTGCCACTGCTCTCTTTTTTGACTTATCCTCTGTGCGTTGCTGCCTACCAATCTAATATTTTCACTGGGTAGTTGAGCGGGAAATAGTAGCAACTGTCCAAAAGATCAGTCTGGTGGTGGCACCAAAATGGGCGGAAAGGTCACGCCAAGCAAGGGGTTACCCAGGATCTGGAGAGGCTGAGCCCTGGGATACAGACTGCGGTCCAGAAGTAGATACTTTTCAGAGAGGATCAAATTAATGTTTCTCAAAAACAACCAGAGAAAGAAAGAATGGCATGCACGCAGGAGAATAAGTTAGCATCTGATAATAACCTTCATTCACCTCCTTGCCGGCCAGGCTCGAGATATTGATTTAACTCTGGGAACAGTGCATCATCTGCCACTAAAATGTTTTAACTGGTGAGTTTCCTGAGTGAATAGCCCATTTCAAAAGATGCACTACGCACTGACCCTTCACTTAATTCAGCCTCTGCATCCACAAGGTGCCGTGCAAAGCACTAGAGACAGAGGGACGCATACAGGTGGGCCCTCCTTTAGCAGAGCCAAGGTAAGTGGACCTCAATGCAGAACAGCGATAGCACAGAGAATTAAGTCCCATTGGGTAACCAAGAAGTCACCTCACAGTCGAGGGGAGACAGGCTCAGGTGGTAACCGAAGTTTAAGAAAACAAGTAATATTCCAGTTTTAATCGTGTTTGTTCCGGAAACACTTATGTTGAAAGTGAGCCATTAAGCAGAGCCTAACGAGAAACACAACTGGTATTGTGTTGATCACTTTCTGATGACAGATTCTGTAAGAGGAAGGGCAGTGTCACTGATGCAGATTCGGAGACAGAGGGAGGCGTCCCTTTATGTCCTATTAATGTAGTGATGTTGAGACACGTACAAGCAAAGATACAGAAGGAAAACTGGTTTTGACTGCTAAAACATCAGTGGAGATAATGAAGTCACAGGCTTTAATGAAAGAAAAGAAGACTTAGAAAAAAACTAGCTTTGTTGCTCGGTTCAGAGCCACTGGCTGCGCCTCTGCCATTCACATACCTTTTTTTTTTTTTAAGATTTATTTATTTGTGCATACAGAACTGGGGTACAGGCCAGAGGCTCAGGGGCGGTGAGAGGCTTCACCAGAGACAGAGTGGGGAGCAGAACAGGCAGATCGACGAAGTACACTGCTGAGGGGAGCAGCGGGCGGGTCAGGAGAGGTCTGCCACGCCATGTGGGCACCTCCGGGGCAGGCGGGGATCGAACTCATGTGGAAGTGGCTTTAGATTCTCAGTGCTGTGCTTTAACCCGCTGCGCCATCAGGGAGGGCCTCACATACCTTTTGAAGGCGTGCAGTTTTGCTTGTTTGTTTTGCAAGGCAGAGGGTAAGTGAAAGGGAGGGGAGGCTGATATTGAGGATTAAGAGAAAACTTCCAGAATATGATTTTCACTTTATAAACATAGTGGTCTCACATCTGCACATATGCCAAAAATCCCTCCTCCTAAACAAGGAAATTATGAGAAATGGTTCTGGTTATTGGACAGCAAAATGGAAGCATCTCAACATTTAAACTTTATTTTGTTTTACATCTTTGGAAATTTCCAGGAAGTATGTAACTGTGAAAGGAGCCCTGAAAGTCCCTAGGGGGGAAACCTGATTCAGCAGGTCACTCTTACAGCCCCTCAGCTTCCTGGACAGTGATGCCTGCCTCTGCTGTCCTAGGATGTCATGCTAATCAACATCTAATTTATTTTAGGGGTTCCTGGATAGTGTTGTTAGTATGCCAAAATTCTCCATATGTGTATATCTACCTCACAGTGCCGGCGTTCCTATAACTGTTCTGTTACTCAGATGAGGCAGTCACAGGTTTGAGAGTGTAAATTACTTGTCCAGGGTCACATAGCAAAGTGAACGGCGGAGCCAATATTTGAACCCTGTGTCCCTGAGTTCACAGAGACTGGGCTCCTGCCTCCTCTTCTATCACTGTGAAGTCAGAAAATGAAAGCACACTGCAGAGGGCATTTTCTGCCCCGGATTATTTTTCTTTTTCAGATGCATGATTACAGTGTACACGGAAGTAAAGAAATGAAAGTAACATCCCTATCCCCAGCTACCTCCATTTTATTCCTCCATTGTAAGCACTTCATCTAACTGTTGATAGGTTCTTGGAAACTCTTAAGAGTTAAACTAAACGTATTTGTCACAAAAACAGATCCTCCAATAATGTCATTTTGTTTATTCTTGGCTAGGGTTATTTTTTCCTTGTCAACAGTATAATGAAACACTGAAAAAATAATGTCTTTGCATGACCTGCTGTTGTGTCAGCGTGAAAGCACTCAGATGCAAATAACAAGAGGTTTGGTACCACTGGAACATTTACTATTTGTCAAAAAATAAGTCTGGAATCAGGTAATCCTAATGTAGATCTAGCAGTTTCACAAGTGAAGCTGTTCATCTCTATGGTTACCTTGACCCCTGACTCATGCTCACATAAAACAGCTGTTGGAATTCCAAACATCAGTCTAATGAGACTTTTTCAAAACCAAAAAGCAGACAGCTAGGTCTGAATGAACATGTGTTACATGTCTCTCTCAGCTTTTATCTAAAAAAAGTAATTTATCGGAAATGGAAATACCCAGAAACTCCAAAGAACACTTCCTTACCTCTCATTGACTAGAAATGAATTACATGATATATTGAATGGGTCAGTGGCTTAATACAATATAAAGTTATTTCTGGCACACCTCACAACTTTTGTGGGCTGATGGTCTCCTTCACCTGGCAGCTACCCCACAGCAGAAATGAAGCGGAGAGTGCCAGCCTGATTGTGCTGCCAGGAAATAACGCACTCTGCTCACAGGCCTATTGGTCAAAATTTCTGCCCCACCCCCTGCAAGTGCCTGAGGAAAGCGATAGACCACCAAGGGAAACAGTTATGAGCTTCACACAGCTTTCTGTGACTGCCATGACCCCTCCTAGATGTCAGAGAAGAAGGCTCTTGGGACGGGCTGCTGGGTGGGAAACTGTCATTCATGTCTACCTGCACATTCACCAGGCTGGGAATCCTGCTTGCAAGAGGTAGCAGGAAAGGCCTTTCTCTGAGCTTCTGTTATTCTATTGCCTCTCTATTCCAGACCCCTTTTCATTAGGTATTAGAACACAGTGACCCTGCTGTGGGACAGTCACAGTGTAACTACACACACCTAGGCGGTATATCTTCCTCCACACCTGAGGGTCATGGTGAAGCCTGGTGGGACCAGGTCACAGGAGGAGTAGGTTGCTAAGTGAGGCACAACTGCAATCTTTCACTTTGCTGTCAGAGTCTTCCTCATCCACCCCACCCCGACAGACTAATTTCTTAAGATCCAGGTTCAGTAGTTTTCTTTAACACATATGTTCAGTTTGGTGATTCGTGTGCTTCTGAAGCAAGTAATGAGGGTCTTTTCAAAACAATGTTTTTTAGTTATTTTACTGTCTTTAAAAAACATCTGCCTTATCTTTAGAATTTCCAGTAAAATCATTGAGGAACAAGAAGTATGATTCAACCTTTAAACAAAGGTGCAAAGGTCTATACAGCAAACTTCAATAATATGACCATAAATCAAGTCAATATCTGATTAATAACATCCACATATGTAAAAGATCTTCAGGAAACTGACT